AGCCTCACCTGTGAAGTCACCAGCAATGCACGGTTGTAAGAGCGGCTCAGAGATACCAATAAGGAACCCACTGGTGAAGCAAGCGGCTTTGGCTTACCTGCAGCCTATGGGAGGGAGACCACCGGGGACAGTGGTGGAGGAAGGTCTTTTTGGTAAATTCAAAGAGGTTTGCTGCAGAGGGCAATGCGGGTGTCTCGAGTGGCTCCACGGTGTCGTCTCAATGGATTTCTTCAGTACAGACGAAGAAGACGATAGAGATCAAATGATGATACGAAGGACGACAAGTGGAGGATGATAGTTTTGGAATCAGTTGGGTTTGTACATATACACTATGGTCGTTTGCTTTCTTCTCTGCAAACATAATTCTTGTGTTAAGCATTCAGAGATATTTCTTGTGAAGTAAGAAAAGGCATAGAAGAGAGTTAAGCTTACATTTGAAGAGATGCGTCCACCCAAATGCCCTCAGGATCATATACGACTGGTTTCCATAGGTCACTGAAATTTGCAAAAGATTTGTAGCCATCAATATTGCACAAACAATTAACTTGAAGTCTATTGTCTATGATATGATTAATAGGCACAAATTATGCTTCCAATATACTGTTGAAATGAGTTAGTAGGATGCATATCAACTTACTGTGTTAACATAAGTGGCACTATGCAAACAGCGATTGTAGGGACTGGAAATGTTTGAGAGATTTACATCAGAACCAGGGCATCCACCAAATGTACATCTTTTCAAGATTCTCAAGTGAGACTGCATCGTCAATCAACCGGCGAGCCTGACCTTCTACCGGTAGGGGAACACCAACAACCACCCCTTGTAGGCGGGCTTCGATGCTGCTTATGGCCCGCTGTAATCGCCAAATCATGGGGTTGTCTTATGCAATTAGAAGAAAAAAAAATATATGTAAAGTAAGAGAAGCATCAGATGCAAACCTGAGCATGTGGGTTCTGAACTTCTACCCCGCTTGATTTGTGTGATTTTGTCCACTCCACAAGAGGATCGTGGATGAAGGTCTCCAGGATGCTCATCAATGTCTCCCTATGCGTTCTCAGCACTGTGAGAGTGATTTCACATACCCTTATGAAGATGCCCTCATATCCTGTGATGCCTAAACCATCGATCATGTTCTGCGGTTTGGCAAACAAACATTCACAAGGCCATTGTTATCACAGGGAAACAAATAAAATAAAAATACGAACAGAATACATACAAACGATTTTGTTTCTTGCCTGGGTCAATCTGAATGGCACCAACTCAGGCTTCTCCAGTTGTAAGCCTTTGTCAAATAAGCAACTGAAGTCTACGTGAACACAATCACCTGAAGTAGAATCAAAGAGTATATTTTCTCCATGACGGTCACCAAGTCCAACAATGTGCCCAACCATGGACCAAACTGCTGTGGTGTGAGCATAGGCTACACGTGACCTAAACCAAGCAGCTGGTTCAGAAAACGTTGTCAAGAACCATTTATGGAAAACTGGAGGGAACATAGGGAGGATCTTGGTCTTCAGCATCGCATGCTCCTCTTTACCAACACATTGATCATATATGTTTTTAATTTGCGGATTTGTTTTCTGCCGATCAAACCTCCCACAAGAAATGTATATATCTTGTAGAATATGGCGGAGTCCACGTGTATGTGGAACCCACTCCACCATACCACAGTCCTCAGTCAGAGGAACTACTGCAAAGGTGCGGATATATAGATTCCTTCGCCTGCTTTCAGGATATTTGGATAGTAAGCGATTTATCATTGCAGTAAACTCCATCATCCGAGCATCTTTCCTGAGATCATCCTTGGGCTTGCAAAGGAATGGATACTCAATACCATCATTTCCGAGCAGAATGATCTGAATATACAAAATATTATCTTTTGGTAAGGCATGTTGCAGGACTGATTCTCAAAGATAAAATGTATTTAAGTATGGTATAATGCATATTAGAAGACATATAAAAGGAGATATAAGCAGAGAACAGTGCAGAGAATCAAATGGAATTAGGTTGATGCTTCAATCCGTGAAAGGGAAAAGCATACCTTCTTTGGGCGCTGAAGGGATGAAAGTATCTCGGCTTCATCAGCTATACCAGAAATAGTTGGTAGATCTGAACCAGAAAAGACACTGGCAGAGTTTCGTTCATTATTGTTCATATCGAATGCTGGTAGGCTAATGGTAAGAGATTGTTGAATTGGCATGATGATATCCAGCGGCATCATTCTTTTCAAGGCACTGAATTCAGTCGCTATATTGATAATCTTGGATCTTGGTTGTCCCCCATGGAAGCACAGTTTAATTAAATGATCAGTCAAACTAGCGAACTGAACGAACAGATTGTGGCCTCTGTCACTTTGGTTAAAACCTTTTCTTGCACCTTGTATGATTTCTGCAGCTGCTTCCCTCCTAGCAGGAACAGCAGATTTAGAAACAGCTGCCATAATCCAGAGCCCTTGCTGAGGAAATTGATGTAGAACAGAAATAATGATCTTCTTAACCATTTGTACTGTTTCCTTGTTCTGGTGACAGATTCTAGAAACCAACTGAGGCAACACAGTCAACCATTGATAGGTTGGCAGATCCTTTAAGCAGCCCCTCATTAAAGCCATCATCTGTCAAAAGTATAAAAATATATTTATCCATATGAAATAGGAGAAGTATTAAATACCAAAGAGCTATAAAAAAAAGTGTCTCTATAATCACCACCTTCACATGAATACTTCTCAGTTCCTTATTTACTGCTGCACCACTTGTCTGATAGACAGTACCAAAGTCAAACCATAGTGTTAACAACCTCGGAAGTGCTTGAAAGAGATTCTTGTGCCCACTGTGAAGTCCCTTAGCATAGAAGTACATTCCCTGTAATAGGTAATCCCACCCTGCTTTCTCAGTGCCAGAGTTCGACGAGACAGAACCTTTTTTGTTGCCTGCAGAGCTCAACACAAAACTCTCTTGTTGACACTTTCTTGCATCAGCATATAGTTCATCATAATACTTAGCCAAGTGGAAATATCCCTTCTCCCAGGGCAGCAATCCTTTGACTTGGGTATAAAGATTTAAAACATCTTTCTTTTGTTTTTGCCCACTGCAATGGATCCATTTGGAATACAAAAGAAGAGTCTTTGCAACATCTTTCTTGTCACTGAAAGATTGTGTGCTACGAACTGTTGGCTCGAGATTTCGGGAAGCCATCAATGAGCTATTGATTGAAGAAAATACCTTGGAGTCAACAACTCCCTCAGGCATATTCAGGAGAGACTGTTGTACCTCTATAATGGCACTGTCCGAACGCTTAGTGATCCAAAGAAGTTTCGCCTTTTCCATGTGAACATTAGGTGCACCAGAAGCTTGAGCTTCCAAAATTGCCCTGTGAGCTGTCTCATAGTGACCAGCCAAACGGCAAAGCTTTGCATATTGAAGCCAACAGTTCCCAACTTGAGCACCAAGCCCAGAGGCACCAAAGACAAACCTTCGGAAAGCTAAGAGAGGTTCCCTTGTCCACAATGATGATTGAGTAAACCTGAGCCGGTTCTCCCAGTTATCTACTACTTTTGAAAACACCGGATCACTTGTACTAAATGATTTCTCCAAATATGAATCCCCATTAAGAAGCACCTGGAAGTCCTCTAGCTCCCTTAGCAAGTGAAGTTTGACAACAAAAGGATATGCTCGTGTATAGGAGTCCATGCCTGCAGCAGCTAGAGGAGCAATGAGAGCTTGTTTGGAAATGGCTATTCTCTCAGCTACAGAGTATTGATCCTTCTTCATCATTGCTTGGAGAATCTTTGAGACATCTCTGTCAAAAGAGGCATTACTATCTGAGCTGAAGAGTAGACCTTCTTCATCAGCTCCACCAAGATACTCATCCATCAAGTCCCACTTTCCAAGTCTCCATGCAGCTTGTACACCTTGTGTGCTCCACGTTTTCTTGTACTCAGGTACTCTGGAAATCAGTCCGTCAACATGAGTGACCATTGTCTGATGGTGGCACATGTTAAGTAAGCAATTAAGAACATCTGAGTGTCTTTGAACTGATGTTGGTTCCATCTGAAGAGCTTGTTCACATGCAGTAAAAACTTCTGCCCAGTTACCAGATTTCTTATCTATCAACAACTGGTCTTGCAAACTTAATGATTTGCTTAAACTTGCAAAGCCCGCAAGACCATCAGGCTCGTCAAGGCAGCTATATATTCCCATCAGAGAAGATACATCAGCATTTTCAAAGATGCCTGTCTTCTCAGCTGCGGGATTCAAGGAACCTGACTTTTCTCGTACATGGGATTCGAGGTACATCAATGACCTGGCATAAGCTTGACACCTGAATGATGCCCTAGCAAGGGTCACCTTGGGAATAGCAAGCAAAAGCTCCAACACATATTTACATTGTAGAAGAAGTTGATCCTGTTCTGTTGTTGAAGTTGAAACCTGGTCTTTTGATTTGGGTGCTACTTGCCTACCGCCTGATGACTGCAGAGACAATGAGAGTGCTACTCCCTGCTTCACATCATCAACCCATTGCCCAAGGTTATCAAGAAGCGTGAAAACAGCTTGAACACAAACTTCACTCTGACCAACACCAAAGCTGTTTATTGTCACCCCATTATTTTCTGATGCAGCAGCATCAAGAACAGAAAGGATCTCTTCCGAAATGCTAAGCCGCGCTGACTCAGTCCCATGGCAAACAACATCCAGAACTAAATATGGTAAGAGATAAGTAGCAGTTTGCATATCATGTCTCACTATGCCTCGGCAAGCAGCGAATATGCTTGCACGGGATCCAGTTGCATGTGCTGTCAATTTCTTTATCCAGTAGGATAGCCACCTTCTGAATGACATAGAAGGCCGATAAATTGGTCCAGCTGATCCAGGGTCAGACACATTTGGAAGCTGAAACCTTGAAGTCAAGCAGGGAGCTATTAGTTCTTTAACATAATTTGAGAACCGGTCCCATAGTTTTCGTCCCCTATCATTCACTTCATTGCTACCTCCAGATCTTCTAGAACCAGATACATTGAGTTGCACGCGTTCCTGTGGCGCAAAGACAACATTCCCAGCTAATGATGGCTCACAACCAGCAATCTTTAGTAATTCCTGTATGGCAAGAGCAGCTGAGTCTTGAATGATTGTATCCTGTGCAGCTCTAAAAGCTCTTGCTAAGTGTTTGTGAATGAGCTCAAAGATAAGATCATCATCTGAGCATTGGATTTTAAAACGGTTGCATGAAGCAACTCTCACTTTGGCGGGGTCAATAGCACCTATTGCTCCAAGACAATCTGCACAAACTAACTTCAACCTCTGACCTACTGTAGTTCGTGATTCTTCTGCACATCCCTGTAGTAAAGATGTGATCAAAGAGCTCAAGATCTCCATGTCTGAAATAAGTTCACCGGCAATCAATGCAACAACTTCGTCATTTCTATTATACAGCAATTTGCTTAGCTCACATGCCACCATGTACCTAACATTCAGGTTCTCATGTTTCATACCATTTACAATATCCCGTAACTGATCCTTCAGGCTCATTAATCCACGTGCTTCTTGAATAGCATTGTTCAATTCTGCTAAAGAAGGTATGCTTGGTAAGAGGGGAAACTCACAGATGTGCTGCTTTAGTATATCTTTATTCTTCAAAACAAGTTCTTCCAGAATTTTCACTACTTGGTCTAGATGAACATGGGGACCTTCCTTCTCCCTCTCTAAGAAGGGTATAAGTGCCGCAAAAACCTGAGAAATCACATGCTTTATGCTAGATGGCGATATGGCAGCCAACTTTTCTGTAAAAAAATGCAAGACCAAGAGACCCTGGCTCTGAAGTGCATCTTTGTCAATGGCATGCATTAGGAGAACCATAAGCTTTGGCACATATGTGCTGAGATAGTGGCCCATCATCTCAATGAGCAGCTTAATACGCTTCAATGCTTGCTTTTGAAGGAAAATATCATCTGCATGAAGCATTTTTCTGTCAATACTGTTAAGGAGTCCAACAAAATGGTTTTGTAAAAATCCAGGAAGATCTTCTGCATTTGTTAAAACTTTTGAGATTTTCTTTATTGCCTCAGGCAGTCTCTGTAGCCTGCATAAGCAAAATATTGAAATTAAACAGGATGTTATAAGAAAGAAAACAAGCACTAAGGACGTTCAGTTATTTGTTTAAAATGATGATTGCATTTTTCTCTTACGGCATAAAAAAAAAAACTCTAGCTGATTTGATTGACATGCAAATGTGAATGAGCACAAAATAGAGCAGTAAGCATGCAGAGCGAGCTCAAAAGAACATGTACTCCTTCACGAAGTTCTACTTATTAAAGCAAAGTTCCCCAATAAATGCAACTCAAAAGAAGAACTCTTAACAAAAGAAAAAATTTAGAAAACTCAACTACCAATTTCTGCTAAAAAAGTCTGAAGCTACGCAAGTACATACCGTCTATCTGTCTCGGGTGTATCAGCAATGTCCACAAAGCAAACGAGCTCGTCTAAGAGTGCAGGTAATGCAGCAGCAAATATTTCTTTGTTGTCAGAACCAATATGTGAGTGATACAATTGCAAAACTGAGAGCAGATTCTTCTCTTCTTTCTGATTCAGAGCAAAAGCAAGAACTCTGGGTAGCCAATTTACTATTAGAGGTACCACATCTGTGTCTAATAACTTGGCCAGTTCATTCAAGGTATTGGCAGCTTGAGCATTTCCCTGCCAGTATACCAAGAGCTTAGGAAGAACAACAGGGACCATTTTCCCTACAAGTTCTTCAGTTTCAACACCCAAAACAGCCTCTGCAAATTCCCTTACCACATTTGGGCGGCTGGTCAGCCTGCCAGAGAGATTATCAAACAACTCATTTTGAACATGAGCAGCTCCGGAAAGTAGCATCGCAAATCCCCCTTTCACATGGATGTCGCATGACCGATTTATTAACGTTGACGCAATTATTCGGACGCTCAAGTTTGGATGATCAAGCTGATCAATCAGCAAGAAAAGAGAAAACAAGAAAAGCTCACTGGTAATATCAACAGCTCCCATAACTTCAGCCGTCGTTTCCATGAGAGTGTGGATGACAAGAAGATCCTTAGCTTTAGCTAGAGCATGCTCAATCAGATTAAAGAAATTCCTTTCGCAACTTTTCTCCGTAGCATCTTCATCAAGAAACAAACAGCTCAGGATAGGATGCTGTACAAAGATACCAATCTGGGCACAGAATGCTTCCCTTACATCTGTATTTACATGAAGTAACAGATATTGAAGGCATCTTATCCATTGAGACCTTGTTCTGACCAGAATATCTGGGGCTGTGTGGCCAAGGATTCTTCGTATTACTGCCACACAGGCTAGTTGAGTCTCTTCAGAAGACTCATCATAGAGAAGACGAAAATATAATGAATGAAGGTTAGAGTATTCACGATGATGATCCATTTCCATTTTCACCATCTCCGGAGTCTCTATGATTCTGAAATTCTTCTCATCTTTGCTTTTGATAAATTTATCACACTTTGAACATTGGAATCCTTGAAGTAGACAATTCAGAGTCTCGTCTTTCTTTATATCTACATGTAGGTTTAAATAGCATGCAGTTTTTTCTGAGCCAGTAGTACTTGATCCATATAGGCACGATAAGAAGCCAAGAGACTGAGGAATGGTCTTCTTAACCATCAAATGCTCTTCTTTCAACAGATGCCTATGAAGACAAAAGAACAGTTAAGCTATGTCCGTAAAAGGAATTGGAGCAAAAACAGCAATATGAAGTTAGATATAATGTCATTTTTCTCGTCAGCTTACTCCAGCCTTTGGAATATATGAGGAAGAGCATCAAGATCAGAGAAAAGAACTTTGAGTGGCATGGAGATAACAGCGACAGCTCGCACTTGTTCAAAATCATCAGAAATAGCCATGTTGAAGATATCAAAACCACTCCCGTCACGTAAGCCAAGCTTTGCCCATATCCCCACAGATAACCACTTAGACTTAAATAGAGAGCTAGGCTTCTTAAACAGCAGAAAGTGCGTCCAAGGAAGCTTCAGTATGACTTGTATGGCATTCAAATAATTCCCCTTACTTGTATATTCATATTGTAAATCCAAATCTGATGAAAGGGATATACATTAAGAGATGCTGGATCCACCAAAACTTGTATAAAGCAAAAGATAACCACACATTATTTGGAATGGAAAAAGAAACTTCAGGGGCTAGAAAAGTTACCAGGCACGAGCAGCACATTGTGAATTCCTTCCAAGTAAGTAGAAATATCGAATATGATAGGATTTTTTTTCTCAACCTACATACGAATTTTTTTAAAATAAAAATGAACATGAAAAGCTAATAAAGGAATAGGGACTGGGGAGTTTCTAATTACCTGCTCAGCTATCCAGGGAATCCAGGCATACATCTGGTGAAACAAGCTATAAGTCATTCCAGTCCAGGGACAAGAAACAAATGCATCGGTCAGCATGCTAAGTGCCACTATTGAAATTTCAGGCCGTAACAGACTAGGTCCAGCAGGTGGAGGCTTTAAAGATTCTACAGTTGAAATAATCATCTCACGCAGACTAGCATCATCTTTTCCATCAGTCTCATGGACAACTTCAGAAGCAAAGTAAACCCCTTTTTGAGTATCAGCACCAACTTTCTGGCGCTTCCTTTTGTAGGTACTTCCATCCTCAATATGTCTTTTTTTTCCAACGTGAATACCTTGGACAAGTATATCACTTGCTGCTGATGTATGACTACCGCCTTTGGTTGTCTCACCTCGAACAAAATCAGGTCCAAGAACAAAAAAAACTGCTTTAAAACATTCTATCAAGTGAAAACAAGGTTCTGAAAGGTGAAGCAACTCTAGAAGGCAATGTAGCTTCCAGATTCGAGGAGGACAAGAATTCACAATCCGCACATATGCACTGCACAGGGAAGCCTACATACATAAATACCCAATATGATTTCCCATTGAAAGAGCAGCAGCAAAAAGAAAATAAAAAGAACTGATCAGAAATTCATTGGAGTGAAACATGTGTATGGGAAGAAACAGATCAAAATATACCTTAAGCTCCTCACTCTTTGTTCTCTGTAATGCATGAGGAAATACAAACACTAAACTTTCTGCAGTAAGTTTGACAGCGACATCAGAACAGTTGGAATACACTGCCGTAAGGCAGCGTCCGATGGCAGAATCATAAATCGCGTTCCTGTAACACAAACCCAGAATTTGAAGTTCAAAGTGAAGGTAAGTCTTATTTCTGAAACTTCATAGGAAAACATTTCACTGAACCATTGGAATGTTTTTTTCACACAAAAATGCGAGGAAGGTAAATAAGATCCAAATTTTTTTTATTAATACTCAATCATCTCAGAATAAAACAAAAGAGCTGTACTTTGACATGTTAGGGAACACACCTGTACACAGGAAGTCCTTCTTCATCTGCACTTAAAAGGAGGATGATTGACTGTAGCAATTTCACATGAGGGAGGATGTTGAAACTAATGATTGATCCGACAAGAGAAGCAAATTCAAAGCATGCCTTCCATATAAAATCAGATGTCAGATTAATGTCCACAAAAGTCATATCTTCAAAGAAAATTACATGCACAAATTACACTACCAACTGATCAGATAAACCAAATCACCAAGCTTATGAACAAATAGCAACTCACCATCTGCACATCTGCACCACCAAAGCATACTAAAGAAAAAGCAGCCTTAACAAATGATGTATGGATGAGACCCTCGACGTAGAGTGTCCCCTCAGTTAGGCATTTACAGATGAGTTTAATGATACAAGTAGCAAAAGGTTGCCATCGTTTGGCTCCCAATACATTCAACACAAGACCATCCCCATCTCTGGGCTTATTAGTATCTGGCAGATCACAGAGATGAGAAGAATCACCCCAGATTGCAGAAAAGGACATACAGAAACCCCTAAATGGAATGTGAGATACACAGAGTTCCGGGTCATTGGAATGAAGTGATGTAATGGGTTGCATATCTGGACACATACAAAAGGCATGTTAGTCCAGTATAATTGAACATTCACGATTTCACGGAGTCAGTTTTTTAAGCAACTATCTCCAGTTATAAAGTTGGTCTTTCTAAACATTATTTGCACTTATGGAACAGGGAATCAGATTTGTAAACAACATCACAAACGCTTTGAAGTTGACCTGAAGAGTTTATATTTTGAAAAATATATATATATATTTGTCTTCCATGAAAGTTCTTATGAGTTAGGAAAAGCCACATCATTATGATTAACAGGGAAGGAAGTTCTAAATTTTACTCTCACCTATAATGGCCTGCATAGCGTCATGGAAGAACATCTTGTACGCCTCCCTTGTGTTGGAACGTAGCAACATCAAGAGAGATCCAACAGTTTCAAGTATTACTCCATGCCCAGGACTGCAATTGGATTACAAGAGATAGCATTAAAGCAAAACTCTAAAGAATAAGGAACCAATTACATCAAATTTTAGAAAACTGAGAAAGGAAGCAAAGGGAGAAGATAGCAAATTCAGAGGTTGGAGAGAAGACGACATAGACGAGGAAGTAAGCACGCCCAATCTCAAGTGAAACAACTTACACAAATGCTGGTTCTGCAAAGAAGGGCATAATATGACTAATCACAGGGAAAATAGCAGCAGGATTTCCGTGATAGAAAACTCCTGGATTATTCCTTGCTGTGTGACCAACAAGCTTTAGAACAGCTGTAACTTCCCTTCCATTGCCTGTTAAGAGAGAAAAAAAAAAAAAAGGAACTATGAAGAAAAAGCGTTTCTCAAAATTCCCGAGGAACGGATTCTCGATCGACAATTTGGAGTCCAAATAAACAGTGGAATGCATCGAGCTGTGAAGTTCCATCAAAATTGAAGGAACCCGCAAAAATCCGAGAGGTTAACCTAAGTAAATTCGAGAAAAATCATGGAGAGGAACACAGAAACAAGAAAGTGATTGAGGTGTACCGAGAGAAGGAACGACGTAGGTATTCAAAAGATTTGGGATTACAGCCCGAAATCGAATCTCAAGAGCATCGTCGTCGTCTCCGGTAGAGTGACGAAGGTTGTTTGCCGGAGTAGAGGAGGATGCGGCGACGCGTTGACGGAGTTCGCGAACCAAGCTCCAGAGATTATTGTCGCTCGCCATTACCAGTCAGTATCGCAGACGCTACGCCTTTTCCCCTTTCCCCTTTCCCCTTTCCCTCCCAATTTTTAAAAGAAAATAATTAGGGAAAAAAGAGTTTTATGGAACAAAAGAAAACAAAAAACAAAGAAAATCAACCTCTTATTTTCCTTCTTTTGGGTATTGCATCTCCAAATATCTTTGGATTATTGATATCCAATATATTTTTCTATATTTGACTCTAAAATAGCATTTCTCTATTTTTACTCTACTATATATTTATTTTAAAAAAAATTAGATAGTTATCCACGTTATACGAGGGATAATGTGATATGCGAGTTATTGGAAAAATTATTATCTGGAATATAAAACTCGTTTATATATATATGAATTTTGTAATTATTTTGTATAGAAATGTATTCCATCGGTAAAATAATTGAAAACAACAAATTTTTAGTTCTTGGTCCATATATATCACTTATTAATAAAATATATTTATTTAATATTATAATCTTCAAAAATACGGTTTATGATTCAAATATACAAAATAAAATATTTCAAATATGAATTGAATTTTATAGGTTTAAAGTAATTATAAGAGTAAGTGAATATTTATAGTAAATTTTCTTTTATTTTCGTTTTTAAAAAACAAATCAAAAAAATTGTTTTCTAATGATGTTTGGTTGGAAAGATTGTGTGATTGTGTAGTATTTGGATAATAGGATAGTAGAGAATTAATAGGATTGTGGAGTGTTTGGGTATTAGTATGGTAGATAATTAATAACTAGGTGATTTCCCGCACCGTGTGCGGATGTAAATTTTTTAAGAAATAAGTTTACTTTTTGTATTTCATTAACACAATTTTTTAATTTTAAACT